TCCCAGAGGCAGAGTACAGACTTTAACCCTCCCATTAATCCCGATCAGCCAGGGCTCCTCTGCTCCAGCAGGGACGGGAGCTGCCGGAGGGGGATATTTTGGGGCAAGTTGGGGTCTTTCTCGGGATCTCACCCCGGCAGGCGCCTCTTGTCTTGGCTGGGGCTCTGCCTCCGGGCGAGCTCACGGAAAGCATCTGAGAGCAATAAAGAGCAAAAGCCTCCCGCTGACAAGCCCGGGCTGAAGTCACCGGCGGGACGCGGCCAAGACACGCATTGTCCTCGCCGCTGCTGGGACTGATTAGAGCCGCCTGGCAAAGCCCGGCTCTGGGTGAGGGATCGGCCCCTTTTGCCAAAAAACCTCGATCCGGAGGAAAAAAAAGAAAAAAACCAGAAAAACACACCCGGCTTTTGTTTTCCAGGCTGGGCCGTGCAGAGGCAGAGATCCAATTCCCCTCGTTTTGCACCCATTTCTCCCCGGCCGTCGCTCTGCTTCTCCCCATCCTATATAAGGGATCGAGGTGAGACGAATCCCTGGTAGGAAAACCCCGAGTTCAATTTATTTTTCAGGAGAGAACCTGGCAAACTGCTCCTCTGAATTCTCGCTGCCTCTCCAGCGTTCGATATTTATTGGATTTTTATTTATTTTCTACGTGTCTTGGGGGGGGGGGGGAGGGCTGAGCCATCCAAGATCTCATCAAAATGTCCTTGGCAGTCACTAGACTCGGGAAAGGGGAGGGGGTGGGTGGATATTCCAGCTGGGATGCAGCATTTTGTAACAAATACACATGTGAAATGTTTATGTGTTTATGTATTTATGTATTTTTAGATATAAACAGTTTAAATGTACATAAACATGAATGTATCAAGCATTAAAAATATAAAATACATATATAAACATATATAAAATCTATATAATCCCCCCTCTCTTCATACCTCTTTGCCCCACTCCAGGCTGCAGAGCCAAGAATTTGGAACAGAACTGGTTTTTTTCCCTGGGCTTTCCAGGGCTGTCAGGACCAACCAAAGTTGACATCCCTGTTGGTTGGACGAGTTGGTGGCGGAGCAGAAATCCAGTGAAAATGAAACATTTTGGCAGGGAGGGGGAAGGGTTTTTTTGCTTGACGAAAAAACAGAGAAGAAAACACCCTTTTCTATTATTTAAACATTTTTGTCTGTGTGTGCTTTTGCCTTTGGCTCACAAAAAAAAAAAACACCAAAAAACAACACAGAAGATAAACAAAATGTATCTTGCTGGAATTTGTGTGTTGATCAAGAGCTGCCATTTGTCCCAGAAAAAGTGGGAGCTGAGAAACTCTTTGTGGAGCAGGAGGTGCAGGATAAACCCAGCAGGTTGAAATCTCCATCTCTGTGACTGTTCTGCACCTCGTCCTTTGTCACATCCCACAGTGGTGGGGAAAGAGGGAATTAACAAGCCCAGATCTGTCTCCATCCATAAATTGGGTGCTCAGCAAGGGAAGCAGAGAGAAAAGATATATCCCATCTGCTTTTAATACAGGACACAGGATTTAGGGTGTGGGATATCCCTTGGTTTTGGGATAAAGCTGGTGAACCCGTTTTGGGGCTCAGGTATGACCAGAAAAGGTGGTGAACATCCAGGGATGGTCTGGACTGTGCAAAATACGTGTGAGCCCAATTAAATACCCAGCAAACACAGTCTGGGGAGGGTTGGCAGTCCCAGCATTTCCCAGCCTGGGCATGTTGCCCCCTGATCTGAATTTTTCCAGGTAGTGCCTTTCCCCAGGCAGTCAAACACGGGCATAAAAAAGCACATAAATCATCCTGGTGGGTATTCAGTAACTATCAGAGGATTGTGGGTTTCATGTAATTGTCTGTACAAACAGGGAGGTATAAAATCCTAATTTCCTTCTATTCGGGGGGTTAAATCTCAGCTGGTGCCTAAAACTGGCTTCCTGTGTGGGGCAAATGACCCCCCTGGGGTCTCCATCTGGCTCAGGAGGTCAAGGCATCCCCTCTCCTGTGTGACATCTCCTCTGTGTGAGTGTGGACAGCTGAGCCTGGCTTTGGACCTCTGTGTCCAAAGGTGGGGTGGTCGTGGTGCCTCCTACCCACGTTGAAGGGATATCAGTGCATGCTTGTGGCCATGACCTGCCCTTTCATTGGGGTTTCCTGCTTGGTTGAGTCTCCCGGATTCAATCTGGCGGTGGAACTTCTTGATTGGTGTCTTCCAGCTGGGTCTGGTGGTAGAGCTTCTAGTGTTCCAACGCTGGGTCTGGTGGTGGAACATTTGGGTTGGAATCTTGAAGCTGGGATGGGTGGTGCAGTGTTTTGGTTGGCATTTCCAAGCTGGGGCTGGTGGTGGAGATTCATGGTTGGTATTTCCAAGCTGGGGATGGGGATGGAGTGTTTTGGTTGGTATTTCCAAGTTGGGACAGATGGTGGAGCATTTTGGTTGGTATCTTCAAGCTGGGACTGGCGGTGGAGCTTCTTGGTTGGTATCTCCAAGATGGGGATGGAGTGTTTTGGTTGGCATTTCCAAGCTGGGACAGATGGTGGAGCAATTCGGTTGGCATCTTGTAGCTGGGTCTGGTGGTGGAGCATTTTGGGTGATATCTCTAGGCTGGGGCTGGCAGTGAAGCTTCTTGGTTGGTATCTCCAAGCTGCGGCTGGTGATGAAGTGTTTTTCATTGGCATTTCCAAGCTGGGACAGGTGGTGGATCATCTTGGTTGGTGATTCCAAGCCCGGACATGTGGTGGAGCTTCCTGGTGTTTCAAAACTGGGTCTAGTGGTGGAGCCTCAGGGTTGTCATCTCCAAGCTGGGGTGGGAGGTGGAGCTTCACAGTTGGTATCTCCAAGCTGGGGATGGGGATGGAGTGTTTAGGTTGGCATCTCCAAGCTGGGGTGGGAGGTGGAGCTTCACAGTTGGCATCTCCAAGCTGGGGATGGGGATGGAGTGTTTTGGTTGGCATCTCCAAGCTGGGGATAGCAGTGGAGCTTCTAAGTTGGCATCTCTGTCTTGGGATGCACAACCAGGGATGGATGGCACATCCAGGTGGGCGATTATGGGGGGGAAAGAGCCCCATTGAACGATTTTATTTCCTTCCTCCCCACAGCTGATAGTCGAAAAGACGACTGACTACCCTTCTGCTGAGTACTCCCTGGTGGAGGATGTAGCCCTCCACTTCACGTGTTTGATGGACAGACTGAACGAGCAGCGCCTCTTTCAGCCGGACCTGTGCGACGTGGACATCGTGCTGGTGCAGCACAAGAGCATCTTCCCGGCGCACAAGGGGGTCCTGGCCGCCTACAGCCAGTTCTTCCACTCCCTCTTCACCCAGAACAAGCAGCTGCAGCGCGTGGAGCTCTCCCTGGAGGCCCTCACCTCGCAGGGCCTCCAGCAGATCCTCAACTTCATCTACACCTCCAAGCTGCTCGTCAACTCCTGCAATGTGCAGGACGTGCTGAACGCGGCCGCCGTGCTGCAGATGAACAACATCGCGTCGTCCTGCCAGGACCTGCTGGACACGCGCTCGCTCAGCCTGGCCACCGACATGGCCCTGCCCGCCGAGGGCTGCGCGGGGCCCCCGCCCTACTACTGTGAGATCAAGCAGGAGGTGGACGCCCCCCACCCCAAAATCTACGCCCGGGAGGGCAACGACCCCTTCTCGGTGCGGGTGGAGGACGGGACGGGCGGCGGGACCCTCCCCGCCGGCCCCGCCAAGCAGTACTACAAGGAGGAGAAGGACGGCGGTGCCGGCACCGTGTGTAAGATGGAGGGTGAGGAGTCCGAAGAGGACCTGGACAGCCAGGGCTCGTACAACCGGGAGCAGATCATCGTGGAGGTGAACCTCAACAACCAGACCCTCAACGTCTCCAAGGGCACGGAGGGCAAGGCGGCCGCCAGCGAGGCGGCCGTGATGGGGCGGCCGGACGGCGACGGGCGCGACACGGAGGAGGACGGGGAGGAGGAGAATGAGGAAGGGGAGGAGGAGGAGGAAGAGGAGGAGGATGCGGAGGTGGGTGATGAGGAGGAGGAGGAGCGCAGCGAGGAGGAAGACCTGGAGGAGACGACGGAAGAAGAGGATGATGATGATGACGATGAAGACGCGTCGGAGATGAAAAGGGAAAAGGGTGGGCAGCCCCGCCGGGGCAGCCGGGCCTCCAAGGCCACCAAACCCACCATGGCAACCAGGTCCCAGGAGATGGCCAAGGTGGAAGAGGAGGAGGAGGAGGAAGAAGAAGGCCAGCGAGGGAGGAAGAGGAAAAAGGAACAGGATGGTTTGGGGCAGAAGGTGAAGCTGGAGGAGAAGCAGCATTACCCCTGCAAGAAGTGCCCCCGGATCTTCAACAACCGCTGGTACCTGGAGAAGCACATGAACGTCACCCACAGCCGGATGCAGATCTGTGACAAGTGCGGGAAGCGCTTCCTGCTGGAGAGTGAGCTGCTCCTGCACCACCAGACCGACTGTGAGAAGAACATCCAGGTGAGCCAGCCCCATCCCCAGGGCAGGGACAGGAACATCCCACCAAGGGGGAAATATCCCACCAATGGGTGGAGCATCCCAGTAGGGATGGATATCCCACCAAGGGGGAAATATCCCACCAAAGACTGGAGCATCCCAGTAGGGTTGTACATCCCACCAAGCAGGAAATACCTTACCAAGGGTGGAGCATCCCATTGCGGATGGACATCCCACCAAGGAGGAGCATCCCACCATGATGGGACATCCTGATGGGGGAGGGACATCCCAAATACCATGGAGGTCATCCCACCCAGCTACATTATGGGATGGGCTCATGCTCAGGTAATCCTGATGGGAAGGAACCTTCCTTCTGCCATGACTCGTATTCAGGCTCAGGAGGGTCCCACAGTGCCACGGGATTTGTGCAGGGAGATTATTCTTTCCTCCTTGGCTGGCTGGGTGGAAACATGGAGTTAATTTTAGAAGAGTTATTTTTCTTTTGAGTTGATTCAGTTAATCTGGATAAAACATTGTGAGACCCTGATGGAGACACGCTCCAGCCATTCCCACCCAGGCTGAACCTCGTTCAGCATAATTTGAAGATTTGCTGACAGGAGTCAAAATGGTTTTAATCTGCCTTTTGTGCTTTTTTTTTGGTGGGTATTAGCAAATTTCCGAAAGCATTTGACATCCCTGAGTGGCTCAGGCTTGGTGTGTCCTTCCCCCTGTGCTAAAGAGATCCTGTGTTTCAGATTGTCTCTGTTCAATCTGTGCAGTTTTGGGGGGATAGGGAGGCACCCCATCAGAGCAGCAAATGTGTGTTCCTGAAGGTCCCTCCATCCTTTCTCCTAATCCACAATGAGCTGTTTTCCATGACGCTGCTGCTGCTAATTAAAAATATCCCAATTTCTGGAGAGTTCATCCATCATCCTTCCAGCCAGTGACTGGATTTTAAATGATCTCCCAGCTCTCCTGGAGGAAGGGAACACAACCCAAGTGCTGCTGGAGTCCTTGGCCAATGGCATCCCAAATAAAATAGGGAATGAGGCAGATTTTGGCCTTAGGGCATGCAGGGAACAGGGAGGCAGGAACAGTCTCAGCTCCCAGGTGCAGCACTGCCTGCACTGACCCTTCAGTGCATATTCCTGGAAAATTCACGGCGCTGAAGTTGCTTCTTTTGGAGGGTTTTTCCCAGGATGGATGAGAGCAACTCCAATACCTGAGTGGTGGTGGCTGTTTCAGAGCCTGTCATAAAGCCTGGGAAATTAAAAAAGAGTTTTCCCGGGATGTTTCCTCAGCCTCATCTGCTTTCCAGGTGGATCACATGGGGTTGTTACCTCATTGCTTTTTTCCTCCCTCCTTTTTTATGCCTTTTCCAGGTCATTTCTGAGCAGGATGAGCCACAACTGCCCCTGCAGTGACCTCCTTCTGTGGAAAAAGGGATCATTATCTCTCACTTAATTGAGCATTTTTAATTTGACAAATAGCCAAATTCACTCCGTTTGCTCTGGTAATATTGAATAACTTTATCAATATACCATGGAATTATGTCTACACGGAAAAGAGATTTTTTTTTTTTTTAACTTTATGTGTTTAATAGAGAGTCTTTATTTCTTGCTGTTTAACCAGATCCATAGAGGAACCATCTCTCTTATCCCAGTCAGCTCTGCTGCTTTCTTTCCCTGTTTTGTCCCCAAATTTCATCCACAGTACTTTAGGTTTTAGGCATCATCTCGCTCCCCGTGATCATTTCCCATCTCCTTAACATGCATCCCACCTCCACCACCTGAAAAGCAATTCATCCTTTGCTTTGTTGGATTGTTCCTCAAACTCTTTTTTTGGTCAGCTTCTGTGTGGTTTTCCTCTTAACCTGAAAGGATTTATATTCTCATTTTTTTTCCCCCTCATTTGGATGTTACTTCCACATTTTTGAGTGATGATTTTCTGCAGTAACTGAGGACACAGAGCTCAGCCCTCCAGGGTGTTTGGTCCCAGCCTGAGGTTTTTCCTACCTCTGCTGCTTTCCCTCTACCTTTCATTTTAAAACTCCCCTGCAGCCTTTTTCATTTGAAGTGGAGAAAATGGATATTGATGTGTCTTTGATATCAGGCTCTAGTCCTGAATTTGCCCTGAAATACCTCTGAAAGCAGAGATAAAACTGGAATCCATGGAAATACATACTCAGGAACAGTAAAACTCAGAGAATTACCCATGTTGACACTTGAGCACGGCAGAATGAAGATGATGAGGGTTGGGAGTGGCTCTGTGACCCTAATTTTGCCCCTTGGGCACCTACATATAAATATATATGGAGAGATACTGTGACTTCACAGCTCAAAGGTGTATTTTCAGCAAAATTTGGTTGAAGTCCATCAATGAGCCTCTGTTCCTCTGGGTAGGAGGGAAAGGTGGAGAAATCCCTCCCTGGGCCCACTGGTACCACTCAGCTCTGCTGTTCTGAGGTGCCTCCAAGGCTTGAATTATTTTCTCAGCACATCTCTGAGGAGAAGAGGTGGTTTTATCCCTGTTGACCAAGAGGAAGATGAGTCGGGGAAAGATGAAGTGGAAAGAGTTGACCCTTGGAGAAAAGAGAGACCCTTAGCTCCTGGCAGGGTCCTTGCCTGCCATCCCTGTGCTCCAGCAGTGGTTTCCTGTATGGACATAAGTGTTTCCCTGAGCACTGAACTGCCCTCACATGCTTCAAACAGGTCTCACCCCAAAGCTGGAGCTTTTCCTTAAAACTTCAAGAGAAACACTGAACTTGTTGGAGCTGAAGCAAATCCCAGCCAAAACTTCTTGGAAAAGACTCTGCACGTTGTGTTGTTCTTCTTGTGCTGATGGACTGGTTTTTGGGTCCGTTTTGGTCCATTTGGGCATCCCGGAGTCATAGATATGTTTGGAAAACTCATTTAGTGGTAAAGTATCCGTAATTTAGTGGTGAAGTATCCTGCTGAAGACTGAAGTTGTGCTACCCTGGCTTGGGATTCCCCTTGATTCTATATTCTTTGCAGCCTTCTAATGCACAGAGGGTTGGGATTATTTTATGTGATGGCTTCATTTAGGAAATAAAACTCCCAGTTGGGAAAAGGGCCTTGATGCATGAGCTGCTGCTTGCACGAGTCCTAATACAGCCACTGATGGAGATGCCACGTCCTTCCCTGGGAGGACATTGTCCCTTCCTCATCCCGTGGATAGAAATTTGAGGTTTGGAGGTTTTGGAGTGGCAAGGTCTGCGTCAGACTTGCTGGTCATTCTGATTTTTGATATCTCAGCTGTAGGTTTCACAGTGATGTCCCCTTTCACCAGATGAAGGTGATTGCCCAGAGAGACGAAACTGCTGGTGGTGTCTGGGCACGTTCCCCTGCTTCCTTCACCATCCCCTCTCTCCTTGCAGTGTGTGACGTGTGGGAAGGGCTTCAAGAAGCTCTGGTCTCTCCACGAGCACAACAAGATCGTCCATGGTTACGCAGAGAAGAAGTTCTCCTGCGAGATCTGCGAGAAGAAGTTCTACACCATGGCCCACGTGCGCAAACACATGGTTGGTGAGTGCGGGGGGCACCGGTGCCACGGGGAGACTTCATTAGGGGTCTCCATCCAGCAGTTGGGCAGTGAAAGCTGGGTTTTTGTTGCTCTTGAATGTTTAGGGCTGGGCTTAATCTTGTGTGAGCTTTCTCACATCAAAACCTCAAAATTTGACCTGGTATTTAATGTTGAACCCGTGTCTGCTCAGTGATGGGTTTGGGGTAATCGGGTGTGGTGTGTTGGAGAACCCCTTTTATTTAATTTAACCAGAAAAAAATAGATCTCAGAAGTGCTCAAAGGAGGGTTTGAAGTGTGACCATCCTTCCCTTGTAAAATAGGACCAGGCCACACCAGTGCTGGGCTTTGAAAAGCAAATTGCACATGGTGATGGTAGATTGGGTCCCTGGGCCTTGCAGGGACCAAATAGATCCAAAAAAAGGAGGGTTTGGACAAGAAATTAGGGGAGAACTTAAAATGTTGATGCTGTGCATCTTCCCAAGATGACTTTGGGTTTGCTGGGGTTGGGCACTGGCGTTGGGAGAGATGGCTGGGATGTGGGGAGAGGGATGATGGAGGTGTGGGGAGAGGGATGGTGGAGGTGTGGGGAGAGGGATGGTGGAGGTGTGGGGAGAGGGATGGTGGAGGTGTGGGGACCTGACCCTGCCCCTCTCCCCCTCAGCACACACCAAGGACATGCCATTCACCTGTGAGACCTGCGGGAAGTCCTTCAAGCGTAGCATGTCCCTCAAGGTCCACTCACTCCAGCACTCTGGGGAAAAGCCTTTTAAATGCGAGGTAAGGTCCTGGGTGTGGCCCCACCCCACGTCCTCTCAAATGAGGACAAAACCACTGATTTGGGGAAAGAGGCTTCCTCCCTGCTTTGTACCAGTGCAGCTGCCAGGATGCTCCCACACTGTGGGATCCCTTCCTGGTTTGAGGGTTCCACCAACCATGTGATGAAACTTGTCCAATGCCAGGATCTGTCCCCCCAGTACCTGGATCTTACATCCCACCCCAAGCCCATCCAGCCTGCAAACCTGGTTGGCTATGGCCCAAAAAGCCATTTATTTGGATTCTCTTTTGGGAGAAAAAAAGGGATTTCTTCACTGCTGGTGACCTGGGGGGATGTTTCGGGTCCTGATCAGGGACTCATCCCCGTCTCACCCCCTCAGAACTGCAACGAGCGCTTCCAGTACAAGTACCAGCTGCGCTCCCACATGAGCATCCACATCGGCCACAAGCAGTTCATGTGCCAGTGGTGTGGCAAGGACTTCAACATGAAGCAGTACTTCGATGAGCACATGAAAACACACACAGGTAAGAGCCCCTGACCTTGCCCCACACTCCTGCCGTCAGTCAGGAACTCTGGGAAAAGAGCGATGGGACGGGTGTAGCATCTTTGCGTGGACAGAAGGATATCCAAGTGCCGGGTCCTGCACTTTGGCCACAACAACCCCCGGCAGCACCACGGGCTGGGGGCAGAGTAGCTGGACAGGGCCAGGCACAAAGAGACCTGAGGGTTCTAATCAACAGGAAGCTGAACATGAACCAGCAGTGTACCCAGGTGGCCAAGAAGGCCAATGGATCCTGGCCTGGATCAGGAACAGTGTGGCAGCAGGAACAGGACAGAGATTCTGCCCCTGGACTCAGCGCTGGGGAGGCCACCCCTGGAGTGCTGTGTCCAGTTCTGGGCCCTCAGCTCAGGAAGGACATGGAGGGGCTGGAGCAGG